TCCAGGGAAACCCTCCAATCAAAGAAGAACTGTATTCCCTAAAATAAAACTTGCAGGGTTTTCTCGGGACCTTCGTTAGCCTTGTGTTACGTTGTGGTGCAGTGAGGAAACTTGCCCAAGAGCCATACAGAGAATGAAAAAGTCCAAACTGGAAGCGCCCAGGTGTGCTTTACAGTTGTCCCTTGTATGCAACAAATGGGGTTAATTAACTCTTTCTAAAAATATGCTAAAGGTTTCCCCAGCAGTGGGAGCTGGGACACTGCTCTAGTCATGCAGCACTTCCCCGAAGCCGGCAGGATCACACAGGAGTGGTGTGGTCCAGCTTTCTGGCTCCTATCAGCAGATTAGGACTTAAATGGGATCAAGGACTCAGACTTTGGAGTGGGAGCACTGGTTACATGAGATGATCATTTTTATGGGTCTTAAGAGAGGCAACCCATCTCCTAAAACCCGGCATCCCGCACATTTGCTTAACTCTGATAATCTTCCGGAGCTTTAGGAGATTCACAGGAAAGGGTGGACCTGGAAGGATTCCTGGAGGCTGTCAAATAAGTATCCAGTGTTTCAATTGCAATGAGCTCCAGTGCATCTTCTGTAAATCTGTTTCAAGCTGTGTTTTTGGGGTCAGTGGAACACAGTATAAATCCCAGCTCACTCAAGTCCTTCAGGCAGAGAATTTGTGGAATACATATGGAAATACTTTTGCTTGGTGTTCTCTGCTCTGCACCTCTCCCAAACAGAACTTACAATTGTGTTGCAGAATAAAAGGGAAAAACCTCCGAGCCTGGAGTAATGTATACAATTCAATAATACATGAAATTCAAAGCCGCACATTAATCACATTCATGTTTAACTCTCAGATTTAAACCCCTGCAGGTTGGCTGCCCTTTGTTCTGCTCAGTGGAAGGGGGCATTCCAGCCTTTCCGTGCAGAGTTCAAAAACTGCCTTGGGTAACAAGTGCAATTGACTTTTTAGGCCTCATTGTATTCTCCCTTCGGGGCATAGTGTGAAGCTACTGCACAGGTTGGCCCCTTATCAAGCTGTTCAAAGGGAGAAAAGTTTGGATAGCAAAGGTTTGGCAGGTCACTGAGAGGGGCTGCTCGCAGGTTCAGGAGGCCAAGACAGGAAAAGTGATGATGCTGCAAGTCAGAATCCAGCTGCATTGGCAGGTCTGGGCAGGAAGGGCAAGTTATACAACAGCCTCTCCTTTCCTCCCGCCACCATCCAGCTTCCAAGCCCCTTGTTTTCATTAGTGTCAGCTCATTTGCAGATTTTTGTGAGCAAGATTTTGGATGGGAATGCTTGCCTCTGACATGCCCTTGTGTGTGTTTGATTATTATGAACTGTTCCTGGTGGTTACCTTTGTACCTTTGTCCAGGATTCACTCATCTGAGCGCTGCAGCTTCCTTGCCTCTGGACCCCTGTTCTCCCTCCCTCCTTTCAATCCATTCAAAATGCTGTTGCAGTATGGCTTTATCCCTACCCTTTTCCAGCAGCCTGGCTTTCCAGGGCTCCACACAGGCAAATTAAGCCACAGGGAGCAAAGACTATTCTGCTGCCCTTCAGAAGAGTGCTGCCATAGGAACCTGCCTGCTTGCTAATGCCTACACTTGGTTATAAACACCATGGGGTGCTGTGGCTAACTGGAGAATGAAATAATTTTCAGTAGCTGATTTGCATCAGGGTTATAGTCTGGGCTGATCCAATCACAGCAAGATGTGGCAGCAGATACATTGGGAATTGGGTTGTGGCTGCAGATATATTAGGAGTAGCTTCAGGTGGACGAATCTGGGGGCTGGTAACAGTCCAGCTCTGATACTGTGGATGTTAAGCATGTAGTAAAATCCTCACCAAAACCCCAGTCAGTGACAATTAATCTACAATATTTTGGCTATCAGGGGGTTTAAAATGCATCCACAGAGCTGTAATGTTGTCCAGCTTCCAAATCATGGTTGGGTTGACAGGAATCTTCCAGATGATCTCATTCCAACCTGCTGCCATGGGCAGGGACACCTTCCACTATCCCAGCTTGCTCAGGGCTCCATCCTGGCCTTGAACACTTCAGAGATGGGGCATCCACATCTTTTCTGGGCAGTGCCAGTGTCTCTCCACCCTCATAGCCAAGAATTTCTTCCTAATTTCCAATCTAAACCTGTTCTCTGTCACTTCAAAGCCATTCCCCCTTGTCTCGACATTCCAGGCCCTTATCCAAAGTCCCTCTCCACTTCTCTTGGACCCCCTCTAGACACTGGAGAGTGCTCTAATGTCTCCTAGAGCCTTCTCTTCTCTTGGCTGAATGACTCAGTGTGTGTCCACAGGAGAGGTGCTCAGGCCTTGGGTCCCTGTATGTCAGCCCAGGGAAGGTTGTTCTGTCTGAATGGAGGAGACACAATCCGGATCCCAAGAGTGCTTATAAACATCCCAGAAAGCAGGATATGGAGCAGACAGTTTAGGAGTAAACAGGAGTGACTCAGTGAGACTACCCATCACCAGCCAAATGAGGCTGAACTTTGAAGTTAAATGGTCTGAATTCCGGAGAGTCCGAACATTTTACACGCTGAAGTGAAATGCCAAGTTCAAGGCATATAGGAGGTGTAGTGTTGGATTAAGTGCTCTCCAAACAGTGATGACCTCTTGCTGCTGGGTCATCCAAGGACATTTTCCATGCTAAATTCAGCTTCTGATGGTGCACACCATTAATAGTCATCAAAGAGGTGGAGGAGTATGATCCTGAGAGGACCTCTCCAAAACTTAAAGGAGGAGAATAAAGAAGTCTTTTAACAGGGGGTGGAATTTAAATGTTTGTTAAGATTGAGTGGTAAATTCGTCACTCTCACCTGCAAAATTGTGGGCTGCCAAATTGGGCTGGGCCCAGTTGTGGGCTGAGCCCACCAGCCGACAAAGACAGTGTGGCCTGAAGGACTTTCATGTAGAATACAAATATTGAGGTGCTACAGAGGGCAAAATTTTATGGTGTTGCCAGTTGAAGAGAGAATATTTTATGCAACAAGACAGAATTCAAACTGCAGTTATAAAGTATATACTGTTCTTGTAGGGCCACACTGAGGTTTTAATAAAAAAAATGGCAAAGCTCCCACTGATAGAGTTTGGCCCACAGCGACTTCAGCTCTGGAAGTGATTCCGCATTATATGGAGAAAGAAGAAAACTTCCAACCTATTAAGCTTTGATCCAATCAACTTTTCCTATTTATGTCAAAAGAATGATGACTGTCCTGTAAGCAGCGTGCAAAAATTTCCAAAAGGCTGGATTACTGAATAGTACTTTGGAGTTGTAGTGAGAGATCACACAAGCGACTTTCCAAACTTACTCCCTGTGCTTCTGCACTATCAAAATATATGGAAAAATGTGGAGCAGGCTTTCCAAAGGCATTAAGCACCCCACTTGAAATCCATATAGAGCCAGGTGCCTAATTTAGGGAGTCCCTGGTGTTTCATAGCTGCCATAAGGAGCAGTGTTATTTAGGACATGATGAAAGATCTCAGAGAAGTTCTGTTGACTTAAAAAGGAGCAGAACTCAGCTAAGCTTCTGATCTAAAGGTTTTGAGACAGGAGTAGGCATCTATCAGCTGCCCAGTAATAACTTGTATTCTGACCCTGTGACAGTCCACAATAAATGGGAAACAATTAGATTCAGTCTTTTAGTCTGTAACTCATGAGAAAGCGACCCCATATTTGAAAAAAAGGCTCCCCAGGGACATGAGTGTGCATGTGGACTGAAGGAAGCTGCTCTGTGGTAGTTTGTTGCAATCACTCTCATGATTTCTGAGTCAGAGTTCTGAGATACAGCAATTTCCATCTCCTCTAACTTGTCTTGATTCTGCTGTTCCCTCCTTTAAATTAATTTTTCCCTTACAGAAAAGAGACAAGATTTCTGTCATAGGCCAGTACTGAAATTGTAAGTTTGATGCCCACATACCATTTCCTTTCCCTGTTTCCCTAACTGATGAAGATGAGCTGTATCCCACTTTCCTAAGGAACAAGACCCATGGTGGTGGTTTTCTGCATGCTCTCTCATCTTGGAACAGCACAATTTGCAATTTGGAGCTTTTGTTCATGTCCATAAGGGTTGGATGGATGCTCACTCAACCACTGGATGCTCCTGTCCTTCAAGGAGGGTCACAGCTGGAAGATGTCTTTATGATCAGCCAAAATAACCCAGGTTCTGAAACTGCCACATTTGGTTTAAAATTTATAATTAGTGGACTGTAAAGAGGGGCTCAGTTCCTATTACACTAGGGAGAAAAATAAGAGAACAATTTTTAAGGTTCAAGCTGTGGGAAAGGAAACTCCCACAACATTCTAGGGAGGAGAAACCTGAGTCTCTTTGCTTTACACCAAGACAGAGCTGACACATTCTAGAAAGCTGAGCAGGCCTTGCCTGGGACAGGCTCAACTTCCTGACAGAACTCCCTCAGAGCAGAAAATTGGTTCTAACATCCCAAATGTTTAAAAATATAGATAGGAATAAATTTTGAAGGAGCATGAAGTAAATCTGAGGCAACAGATTATATCTAAAAGGACTTCTTTCTTAAAAGGCAGTGTCTGATGAAAGACTTGCAGTCTCTCTTCTGTTCATATGATGGGAAAAAAATATTCTGGCCACACTGAAGGCAGCCAGATAGTTCACAGAAAGATTCAGTAATTTAACATGATCTTACGTGTACAGAACTTGCTGTTCTTTGACCTAACTCAATCCAGGAGGGTTTTAAAAGGCACGAAATAAGGTGTTTCTAATTAAAAAAACTGAAAAAAGAGAAGTTTTCAAGAAGAAAATAAGTAAACAACAGAAGAACATCGATTGAAGAATTATTTAATTTAAAAAGTTGCCTAATTCTCCCCAGGTTTCGACATGAAAGGTGGATCTGTGGCCAGCTTGGAAAGTGCAATCACTTGGCTACTGGCCCACACACATGGGTAGCAAGTCAACTTCTGCCCTTCCTCCCCAGCACTCTGATGTGCTGCAGCGTGGCAGGAGGAGGCAGATGGACGTGAGCAGGAGCACTGCAGAACTGGCAGAGTCAGCACTTGATTGGATGCCATTTTTACAGCTGTTGGATGTTTGTGTTTGGGAAGGGAAAGCTGATTCCTGAGTTTAAGACAAGGATAATTCCAGTCCTCCCAGTGCCTCAAGACGGGAGTGATCAGGAGGGAGTCACAAAGCCTTTGAGATTTTGCACAGCTCTTAAGGTGGCAGACTGGGAGAAAGGCTCTTTTTCTTGGTAAATCTTTGGAGGGGAAAGCATGTAGGATATTTTAAAAATAGGTTTTGTTTAGGGAAAAACTTATTTGATCTCGAGTTTCACTGCAATTTTGATCATTCTCTCTGGCATCTGGTGCCCATTTAAAAGATACAAAGTAAGGAATCAGTTAAAAGCATGCACAAGCAAATGTGAAATTTGTGCTAGAACAGTGCACTTGGGGATTTTAATACAATAATTGACCCCTTCCTTGTTTGTCTGCCTAATGCTCACTTTGTTCTCTCTAGATCTCACATGATATTGAATTTACTGGCTAGAGAAGGGCTGCAGACTAGAGAAAACAGAAAAAATGCTGAGAAGGCAAAATAAGAGGTTAGTGAAAAAAAATCTTGTTTTCTCTGGGCAAACAGTACTTATTCTCTTTGTGATCAACACCAGACACTTTCCAGCAATGGTTTCTTGTTTTTCACTCCACCCTGAAAGAGTTCTTATAACCAGAACTATTGTTTCAGTGGCTTTACAGATTTGACAAAAAAAAATCCAGAGAGCCATACAATCCATGTCAGATAACAGTCAATCAGTGCTGAAAACCTGCCACCTCACAACTTCCCAGCTACCAAAGAGATTTACAGACAGTGGGGACAGACAAAAGCTCTCTTCCTCTTACTCTGTGTGTTTGTCGTGCTGCAGGCTTTTTATGTTTTCAAGGTAGATCTTAAATTTGTAATGGAAAAGGAAGCTGGTGAATATTTTGTGCCTGGCAGGCTGGGAGGGAGAAACGACTCCTGGGTGAATTGTTGTGCTCAATACAAAATAAATTATCTGTGCTGCAGAAGCCCCGGTGCTTCTCTGTGATGTGGGCACTGTGAAGCTTTCATGCTGCCACTAGAGCTGGAAATGTTTGTTCTTTGGCCCAGAAGATGCAAATTTTTGTGGCACCTGAGAATACAGAGTGCTGGTGCCATGTCTCAGAGCCAGGGTAGAGCTGGGGATGGACTTCACTGAACTGCTCTGAAAGAGGAAACAGGGACAAACCCCAAAGTTTCAGTGGGGTCATTTCAGTGGTGTCTTCTTGTCTCCACCCTTTGCTGGTGTCCCATTGCACCAGACTGTTCCCTCCCAGCTAGATCTGCCTTTTCTAGGCAAGACTGCTTCAGTCAAGGAATGCAAGATTTTGGTATTTCCTATTCTAACACTTGGACTAATGTTTATGTGTCTGGCCTCTGATTCAGTTCTGTGCTTCTCAGGTGCCAAGTAGCTATCTGGATCTTGTAACCAGGCTTTCCTTAGGCTGGCAGCACAAGTTCCCATCATGAGCTCATTCCTATCTATAGCCATGCAGCCTCTTTGTTTCTCAGCCTGTTGGTTTTACCTGTCCCCAGGAGCAAGAGTTGGGCAGAGGAAGGATTGCACAGCCAGGCCCAGATGCATTTGTGTGGCTGGGGAATCCCGAGTTCTGAGGTCTGATAATTAAGTGTTTCATTATGCCTGACACTGTGGTGGAGCCTGGAAAAATATGTGATGTGTGTTAGAGCACTTTCATGTGCTGGAGCACAGAACTCTGCTAGAAACTAACACTGGGGGAGAGCTGAGTCTGCTGTGTTGGATTAAACCTGGTTCTAAAAGGTCTAAACCTTGTTCTGAAAGGATCCAGTGGGTCCTGAGTGAAGACAAGGGACAACTGATGGCAGCTTGTCCCACCACAGGCTGCTCCACCTGCAGCCTCTTCCTCAGCCTCTTCCTCAGGAACTTCCTCAGGAACTCAGAAAAGTGGAATGAGCTGAAAAAAGAACAGAACTATCCTTGGGGGAGCAGAAGAAGACAAAAGAGGATGCTGAGGAGGGCCAGAAAGTCCCAGGGAGCTGGAAGACTGTCAGAAGGAAAAGACATGACTGGAAGAGTCCTGAAGACTTAAATGCCGGAGGAGATTTTCTTTGCAGCTTTAGATGAACTGAAAGGCATTTGAGCATGGCTGGTTCCCTGTCAGCTCCTTATCACTGTATCCAGGCATCTCTCCAGAGCCTATCAGCAAAAAGAGATTTCTCCATGAATCATTTACACTGAGAAATTCTGCTGCAGAGACCATCTCTGCATGACACCCTTTGGTCCTGTGCAGCTCTACTGTTCTACATCACATCTGCCATCAAAATCTCTTTTGTCCTGAGCGAGACCCTGCTCATCACGATCAAAACAGTCTCATTCTAGAAAGAACAAAATTTAATTTTTTGAGAATTAAATGACAAACTGTTCCAGCAGAAGGAATTAAATCTTAGAAATGGAGTCAGGTTGTGCTGGAGTCAGTCACATCAGAATTGAATTTTCCCAAGTGCCAGCTGGGTTTATGGGTTGTAGGAGAAAGAAAAGCCTTATATGATGCTGAGAATTCCCTGTCCAGGTGCCCATGTGTGGACAGGTGAGCTGGATAATCATTGTTAGATAAAAGCTAAAGGGTGTTCTGTGGTTGGAAGGAAACACTGTGCAGCTTTTCTTTTACACTAGTGGAAATAACTTCTGGTCTCTGCTTTTCTATTCAGCCTGACATTTATTGCTCACAAACAATGGAAATAGCTCACATTTAAAGTGCTTGCTCATCTTAAAACCAAGACCCAATCAAAAAGGAACTCTTTGAAAGAAGTTTTCAGCAATAATTTATTTCACTATAATATGAACAAGCTTGAACTGAAACTTTTATGACCTATGACTTGTCAGATTTTTCTTCACAGACCTTACCCTTTAGCACATTTTTCATGATAATACAAACCAATCTGTTTATTATTTTCAATTTAAAAAAGTAAAAAAAGTACTGCATCCTCATGAAAATTGCTTCATTGTTGGGCTGTTTGAGTGGTCAGTGTAATATATCATTGTTTGATCTGGCAGAACCATCTATTTATAAGCTAGTATGTGTCAAACTATTTTTTTGGCAAAACTGGGAAGACACCTGGTTTAGTTTAGATTCCTCGCTATGTAATTCCAAACATCGCTCAGTCCTCTTGGATGGAAAACGTGGGCTGGGATCCAGACTTAGGAGTGCTGCTGTCATTCACAAGATGCTCAAGGGCCTCTGCTCTCAAGGTTCATGAGATCATAAATTCTTTTTTTTCAATTTTTCTTTTTTTTTCATAGTACAAGTCTAGGCATGAGCCCAGTGCAGGGCACACACGAAATGTGAGCGAGGCGCAGCCAGCCCCGCCTGCTGTTTCAGAGTTGCCTGGATTGACCAACAGAGCAGCAGCAAGGCAGCCACTGCAGGTTTGCTGGTGAGATCAGGAGGAGTGGCTCACCTTTGCAGAGCTGACATAAAACTTGGGCAGGCAGCGCAATCCTGGGCCAATATTGGGAATAGAAATTAGAAACGCAGTAATTCTGCAGCTAAGTACATTTAAGGGAACTGGTGATTGATTTGCTGTTGAAAGGCACGATTCAATAGCAATGCAATAATGCCTTTACAGAGGTGTCTTTGTAGTTTGTTCGTTCCCCCTTGTTATATATGACATGTTATATATGACATTTTATATATGACATACTGTAGCAGTACTGTATTTTAATACAGTTCCCCTTTTGAGTCAGCTAGATCGTGTTATTAGAAAAGATGCAGGCTGTGCCTGTCACTGTTCCATGGTTGTAAAGCTTAAGAGCTTTATATTGATGGATTCATATTGATTTCAGCTGTAATTGGTTACAGATCTCATAAAGGGTGCTGGGATCATCACTGTCAAGTGATTGGTGTGATGAGAGTTGTAGTGTGCAGTACTCCGTGTGTGTTCAGCACTTCCATAAATGTAGTAGTAAAGATGAGGGAGAAGGCAAGGTGAGGGCCAGAGGAAGCAAGGAGGAGGAGGAGGAGAGAGGGAAAAGGAAGGCACAGACCCTGACCATAGACTGCTCCTGGTCAGACCCATGAAACTGGTCCTTTCTGTCCAGAAACATCGGAGCATTCAATCAGCACCAGGACCAGTCTTTAGCAGCCTTTGTTTTGCCTCTGTGGTGGATCTTCTGCCTTCTACCCGAGAAAGAGCCCTTTGCAAGGAGCTGACCAGTTGTCTAAATAGGCTCCAGCCCCTCTTGATTATTTTCTCTTCATCCTCCTGGTGAGGGACATAGGTGGTCTGGAAAACAGAGGCCAAGTGAAACTGTTCATGCCCAGAGCAGCTAAGCAAAACTATGCTTTGAGGCCAACTTATTTTTCATAATTTATCTTGTAATGTAAGCCAGTTCAGTAGTTTCAGGCAAACTTATTTAAAGCCTTAAAGGGCAAAGGACTTGTATATTTAACCACAGGCTAAGTCTGACTTAAGTACACTGAAGTCAGCAATGACTGTTACTTCAGTGGCTTCCTATGTCCTGTTAGGCAAAGTCCTTCTACTCCTGCAGCCCATCTTTAGACCCCTCAGTAATGCAACCTTGACAGTGCTCTGGAAGGAAGAAATGGAGCTTGGATGTGAGTGGTTATTTGTGATATCTGAACATTTATCAATGTAGTGAGTACCCCTGCATTGCCATTTCCAGCATATGTGGGGCACTGAGTTATGTGCTGAGTGAAGAGTTGGTCACTCAACCCCAGCACTGACCTCAGCCAGCTTGCTGAGGGCTCAGAAAGGCTGCCGGGAGAAATGGCAAAGAGGAAAGGATGCCTGAAGTATTTCCCTTCTTGATTTCTCAGGGTTCCTTCAGGCTGGGTTTAACCAGCTTGCTGAGGTGCTCCACAGCCCAAAGTGTCCCGGAGATCCATGGTGCTGCTCCGCTCCCCAAGGCAGCCAGGGGGTCACAGCAGGGACAGACCACAAGAGTAAAACCTGATGAAGTGGGAGAGGTACACTTTAAACCTTCTTTTGCCCAGGGTTAAACCTTCTTTAATCCTCCTGTAGCCCTTCTAATCCACCTCTTCCAATTTCATACTAGAAAACAACTTAGGACGAGGGAAGGGGATTCTTCAGCTCTCCTGTTGAAGGTTCCAGGACCAGAAGGAACATTACTCCTGTCACAGAAGGTTGTTTTCCAATGGTCTTAAAACTCTGTGCATATTTTATTTTGTGTGCCTTTAATGCAAATTTCAGAAACTGTCAGGTTACATGGAGTTTGTGTCTTGTCTTCTTGGACTCTGATATCTGTAACACATCCAGCTTGAACTGTAGGTAGCTAAGTGGTTTGCTGGATCTGGCCCTAAATATTTCTGCTCAAAATATGAAGTGTCACCTTGCTGTTAATGGAGCATCTTCTCTGATAGGGCCATTATTTTTCTTAGCTGTCTACTACCAATTCCAGGCTATTTAAATAAAGTTACATGGATATGCATGGCAAATACATCCATTTAAAACCAGTCAGCAACTGTGCCAGCACAGCCTCTGATGGTTTTTGAATCTGAAAAGGTT